ATAATAATAAGCTAAATATAAGACAAGTGGTTAATTTTATTTTAGAGTTATGGTATAATATGACTGATATAACTATTCAAAATTGTTGGCATAAAACAGAAATTCTTTCAAACACAAGTAAGATAAAAATAGAATTTGAATATCAAGAATCTGAAAATAATCTGGATAACGATAAGGTTGCAGAAATTATTACAGACTTGTTATTTAGTAATAATCCTGAAGTTTCTGAAATAGTTTAGGCTATAAAAAAGTATATTCAAACTATTGATAAATCCGTTACAACAGAAAGTTTGCTTAATGATGAAGAAATAATCACTATGGTATATTACCTGGTTTAATTTTTATTAGTTTAGTTAAAGTATTAAGTGCTTTATCATATTTAGCTATAAAGAAAAATTTTTGTTCTAGACAACTTTGCTTTTTTTCTAATAATTTTGTTAGGTCCAAGCTAAGGAAAATAATTAACAACAGGAAAGCGATGATAACAAAGAGTCTCCTCTCTATCTGTAATAACTAAAGAGATATATAGTGCAATACAAACTGTTTTATACTATGAAGAGCAGATGAATTTAGAATCTAGTCTTGATCTCGAAGAATTGAAATTTTTGTACAAATAAGTAATAATTATAGACGTGTATTTAAAAAGTCTAAAAAGCAAATATCAATTACAAATTATTTTACTTCTAAATATTAATAAGTCTTGTATTTGAAAATAAATATCGCAGTTGAAGCTAAAATTAGTTAATACTGAAAATAGACTTTATTTTGATATAAAATTTTAAAAATTTGTGAAATGTATTTTTTTTTGTTTTTTTTTAAAGGTTAGCTTAGGATTTATAGTTAGAATTGTTAATAGATTCCAAACCTCAGCATTATCTATGATATATGCATGATCAGTATTTAAAATTGGCTCACACAAGATATACATATGCAAGAATTTTTTGGTGATTTTTTTAGATTTTTTAAAAATCCATTAAGTGTGCAAGTAAAATTTTTAAAAAATCGCACAAAATGTATTTGTACAAATAATTTTTTTTTTTGAATTTTTAAACACTACGTATGACTGATTAATATATTAGCTTAATTTGAATTTTTATAAAAATTAATGCTGCAACAAGAAAATGAATCTAACTCTAACTACTATACTTTTAATTTACAGTGCTCGACAAAAGTTTCTCTGCACCTTTAGCTTTTGCTAGATCATGTGCAGATATGTGAAACTTCATTCACATATAGTATATTGCATATACAGATTGTACTAATATTCTTCAAGAATGATTGATAGTAAAAATACCTACTTCAATCATATATAAAATTTCAGCCAAAAAAATGCTTTTCGCTTTATATAAACGATATGAAATTATTTTTTTAAGCACCTATTCAAAAGGCTTAAAGCTTTCAATCTGTGAAACAGCAAAGCAAGTTTACTGTGATGAAAATTTTGTGCACTATTGGGTAAAAAGATGGCAAGTAACCAAGGATCTAAGCGATAAACCAAGGTCAGATCATAAAAGAACTACTATCCAAAGACAAGACAAACAGATTTTGGAGCTGAGAAAAGAAAACGAAAACATTACAGCCCCAGAAATCTATCATAAACTAATGAAACAGAACATCAACATTCACGTACATACTATTCAACAGCACCTTCATGAAAGTGGGGGCTACTATTACAGAAAGTTTTCAAAGCCTTTGCTTAAGGAGAAGCATTGAAAAAAACGTCTTTCATGAGTGAAAAAGCATAAAGATTTTGACTAAGATTTCATGGTATTTATCAATGAAAGTATCTTCTGCCTGAATCAATGACTAAAAAAGGTGTAGCAATTTTTCAGAAGAAGAAAATTAACTCATTCCGTCAAGCATTTGATGAAGGGACTATTTTTCTTCTTCGGGTTTTGGCAGATTGGTTTGCTTTATGCGTAATCTTAATGCACAATATATGACTACTCTGTATAAAATAGGCCTTCTGCTTTCTGTTGTAGACCTTTTTAATGAATGCTGCGATAGATAGATCTTGCAGGAGAACAATAATTTGAAGCATCGTTCAAAAATCGCAAAGGCTTAAAAGAAAGAAAATGATGTCTAGATTTTTTTCTGGCCATCAATGTCACTTGACTAAAACCCAATTGAAAACATCTGAAGGTTGATGAAAATGAACCTGGCAAAAAAAAAATTAGAACTCTTAGTCATTTGAAAAGCAAAATAACAAGGGAATAGAATAGCTTATCTAAAGAATATGCGAAAAATTTAGTTAGAAGTATGAAGAGTCATGTAGAAGCTCTAATTAAAGCTAAAGATGATTATATAATATATTGATTTTTATTGTAATGCAATGTATTTTTAAATAAAAAAAAATTTTACTTACCTTACCTCTGTGCTGAGTTAGAGATGCAGGAAAACTTTTGTCAAGCACTGTATTGTGTGCTATTTGTATTTAGTATTTATTAAGTCTTGCCAAAAATATGATATTTATTTCAGACTACCTTTCATCTTTTTTAACCTTCTTGTAGTTTCACAATTAAGCAGTATTTATAGAATTAATATATATGTACTATTATAACTATTGTATGCTATCAAACTGGGCTTTTGTAATTTCCTTTAATATAGATTAATGATTCATTTTTAAAATCTAGTATATTGAGATTCATACTTAATTCGGTTAATTATATAGCAGAGATAGTGGATATTACAAAAGTTGTTATACAATTAATAATGAATTTTTTTGTTATTTTACAATACTTTTTTAAAAGGCTTACATGCCTTATCTTTTTTAAGAAATATAAAAAATTTTTTAAGAAAATAGAAGCTTATACTTTGCTTTATTTCTTGAATTTCTATAAATCTCAAAATTTTGTAAATCAGTAATTTGATTGGCCAATCAATTATGTTGTGCTATTCGATTGGTTTAAACAATGATAATTTAGCATGAAATTTGAAAAGTGTGATAAAGTATGTTAGACCAACTCCTCTTAACAAAAAATATCAGGTATTTAAGCTAATCGATAATTGATTTAACATAGTATGATCAGAAAAATTTAAAGAAGCAAATGTTCATTTTACCAAAAATTGTTTATAACTAAAAAATTTTATAAGAAATTATCTTTAGTATTCTAACAAAAAGCCCTTTCTTAGCCAATTTTACTATTATACCCTGCTAATATCTAACTCTAAAATAAAGCTAACTCTAAAGTAAAGCTAATTCTAATCTAAACGTATTTTCAATCATTATATATCTAAGATTTTTTGTTGGCTATGCTAAAGGAATCTGTTTAAATCTGAAACGCTAATATAGTCTGCTCTTGTTAATAATATACTGACTAAACTGGAAAATTTTATCTATTATAAATCTATCATAATAATATATCTACTATAACATAATATACTAAAAGATTATTTTTGTTCTGATGTTTTTGAAGATTTAAAAATTACAGACAACTTAGTGCTAAACTAGAGCATGCTATACTATTTAGCAATTTTAATTGAGATCTTAATATCAGTCAACCGATTTGTCACATCTAAATTTTTTATATATAAAATTATACAAAAATTGCAAAATTTTAATTTAGCTTCAGAAGTATTTTATTCTTCTTTTTATTATATATTTATT